TCATATTTCTATTGTGGGAAATTACTTGTCAACGTAGACGGTATCCTATTCGAACCTTTTGATGTTCCGTCATCTTTATTTTATTTATAAACGATTTACAAAATATAATTGAGTGCTGTGGAACAGAAATTACGTGAACACTTAAAACCTCAAAATTCCACAAAATGTTTTTTAACAAATTAAAACGCGTTTCAACACCAAAGGTGTCATCCCCGGTTAGAGTGACTAGTTTTATAGATGCATAAATGCTGGGGTGTGTCAAGTAGGGTTGCCACCTTTTCAGGCTTTACATTAAAGTATTTCTCGACTAAAAGGTTTAAAAAACAAAGTACTCAGCATAAAAATAAAGTATTTTATTTTTTGTTTTTAAAAACATATTTTTTGTTACACCTAGCAGCCAGTAACAAATTGCTGTCGCTCTTAAATACATTAATAACCTCTAAACATGGCAAACAAAGATTTAAGTAAACTCAAAGTTCATTTTTAATTAGTTTTAATGAAGCTTTATTCCTGTCGTCCAGTCACTTTGCGTTCATAACAGAGAATACTCTTTCCGTAAATGCTGAAGTGGCCGAAACGAAAGTGACACTACTTTGAACAGATTTGGGAAATCAGGTTGTTCCGTTTAAATATGGATTGCCATTTTTGTGTGCAATATTATTGATGTAAAAGTATTCTGAATTTCCAATAATCGCTTACAAAATTACGATGTTTACTTAAGGCCTTAAATAAAGTATAACGTACGCACAGTCGAAATAGAGTACAATACTTTATAATAAAGTACAGGTGGCAACCCTTTGACACTGTCAAGGAATGTAGTAGCTTGAAAGAGGCAAAACGAAATGTTGGGGTTATGGACTCCGCTGAAATATCACAGAAAAATGCTTTGTGCTTACTCTTGTAATTCCCTATCGTATTCTTGCTCAGCGCAAGGCATGAGAGTGTATCGGCTACTACATTATTCTTACATGAAATACGTTGATTATTCATTGAAAATTGGCTAGCGAAATTTAAATACCGGACCTATCTAGAGGAGTATTTATCTAGCGGAAAACAGAAGTAAGAGATTTATAATTTGTGAAAATAATGTTGAAGTCACAGGTCTCGCAAGTGCTTTTGTGGAAAAGAATATTAGGGGTTTCCAATTTCCTTCGTGAAATTGTTGTGACCCAGTGCCCAAAACAGAAGCTGGAACGGTTACCAAAAGATAGCTAAGGTAGTGATTGGCTACAGATGATGAAGGAGACTAGTTTGCGCAAGTTATTTTCTTATTTGAGTTGAATGCCTCATCAGTCGTTGGACACTATTGAACCTATGTATTGGCTTTTATCTTCCCTAGAAGCAGTTTCAGTAATGCAGAATGCATGTGGACAGTGTTGATCAGGAATTTTCTGTAGAAGTTGAGCATACCCAGCAATCTCCGAAGTAGGTTTGTGATGACTGGTTTGGGGTAGTTGATAATTGTCGTCACTTTGTCAGATAAACTAAGTATACCTTTTGCGGAGACAGAGTAACTTCGAAAAGAGACCACTTTTTCAGCAAATTTGCAGTATGCTTGATTAAACCGGGTACCGTAGGAATGCAGACGTGTAAATACAGCGTCTAAATGCTGTTTCTGCAGTTCTACGGACTCTGATCCGACCAGTATATCGTCGATGTAAGCGAAACAGAAATAGAGACCGTGCAATACTTCGTCGATGAGACGTTGAAACATTTGACTAGCATTACGTAACCCAAAATTCATGTAAGGAAACTCCAATAAGTCAAATAAATTTGCTATTACTGTTTTAGGAATATCTTCTAGCGCAGTCGGAATTTGGTTACAGGCTCGAACCAAAAATATATTGAGGACAAAATTACTGTAGTTCTAAGGCTTTCACGGCCGGCATCTATTGATGCTGTGTTTACTTCCGGGCTTTTTGGCCGTGGTCCGTGGAATCTTGCTTTTCCAAACATTTCGCCGTTCTTTGCTGACGGCATCTTCAGTGGTGACTGGGCAGGTGCTGAGTCGTAATCAGTTACGGACCAGGGCCAAAAAGCTCGGAAGAAAACACAGCATCGAGGACAAAATTGTTTTATTCGATAACGCAAAAGTGAAATCATTAATGTTGCGTAGAGGGTTTCTGTCGGAGATGATTCTAGCGCTGAGGGATGAATAATCTCCGCATGGGCAATGGTGCAATTGTCGTGTGCTAGGAAATCGGCACCAATGATGACTTTTGTGACATCAAGAATAATAAAACACCATAAGAAACTTCTTAGCAGGCCCAGGTTGAAAGGACGATAGTGCTGTAGGCCGTTTTGATAGTTTAATTTGCTACTTATAACATTTATGAGCATTTGTGATAAGGCCCAGGTATTAGTAATTAGGGATACACGCAGATGTCAACACCTGGGTCGATTAAGAATTTCTGGCGTGTAGTTTCTGTGACAAAAAGGAGACGTTGCATTGGACCTATCTCACTCGTCGCCATTCGTGAATTCGTGGTTGGTGGCCTATACCACAGACATATAGTAATGGACGTGCCTTAGCCGTATGTCATTGTATAAACTTCTTGGCTCGAAAAGTGAGGGAGATGGCGTATGGTTTTGGACTAGTGCTATTTCTTTCATGACGCGCTTACGCACTATCGTGAAAGAGATGGATATTGTCTGAAACATCGTTCCATCTCTTTCTTTTATGACCGCTAAGGCATGTCCATTAGTAAACGTCGATGGTTTATACCATCTGACATGGTGCGATGCATTTACGTGCCTTGTCCATGTTATGGAAGAAACGTAGACCATTTGGCCAACTGTTATTGTAAATAGTTCGTAGTTAATTGTCTGGGCTTGTTTCCACCTAGTATGCACACATGGCGCAGGTTTCTAATTCCCCAATTCTTGGTTCTCGAGTTGTTTTATGCGTGCTTCATACGAAATCAAATTGATAGTGGCATGGAGTTCAGTCGCCGAAGGGTTGACGATGGTCACGCTCTTCCGCTGCATAGAGGATCCAAGTTGCCTAGCACATACTCAAACTTCGTGGCTTCTGAAGGGATCACTTTATAAACCTATCTACGCCTGGAACCATAGATACGTAACACATTTTTATAATACGCAGTGATAAAAAACACTGTGTTTCTTTCACCATCATTACTTCCACCTGGCGAATCGTTGCATGGTGAAACAATTTACTGTCGTGGACAATAAAACCGTCATTAAGAACGAATGCTAATGAAATCAAATGAGATCGAAATTGCGATGCAGAAGTTTTGATAAACTACTTCCTGTTTATTTGATTTCACTTAAAGATATGTATAAGCCGCATTGTCGATTTAGTTGGACAAGTAGATAGCAGCAAACATCAACAGATGGCGACATGTACTACCATAAAGTCATCTAATTATTGCGCTTGCGCTTAAACTCACGGCCACATTTTAATTGTGTCTGAGAGATGTTTGGCCCATACAATTCGTCTGGCTGCTTACAAAAAGTATTAAAATATTCGCCCAAGTATCATATTTAAAAATTAAACTCAATCTATAAGTAAAATTACGTTTTTTTTTGAGAACTTTGATGCGTCTGGTAGAAATTACCGCCGGTGGGAACTATCTGGCTGTGCTGATTATTCGTTTTTAACAATATTCTGTGAAACATAACGCAAATCAACACTCAGACTTTAAGGAAAGTAAATAATGTATACCTTTAGCTCTTGATATGGTATGCATACGTTCAGAGTAGATACTAACTTACCCTATTCCACCCATATTGTTACTTAGAAAATGAGTAATTTGTAGCGGCTCTTGTATTATTATAAACAAGGATGACTTTCTATAGCAAAATAAGTTCGCAGTACCTATAATGCCCTCAAAAAATTGTAGGGCAATAGTAATTTGGCCAGTCTGAAAGTTGAAACTGTATTTAACATGAAAAATATTGCTTTGGNTGAAGATAGAAAAGAATGAAAGATTATCTGTGGAATATTACTGCGTCAGCATTTACCTAAGTGATCAAGAAAACCACAGAAAAACTTGAACCAAGGCAGACGGTCCCGGAATCGAACCGGCGTCCTCCCAAATGCTAATCAATGGTGTAAATCTTTAGGCCATGCAGCTCGGTCAGACAGAATGGTCTTAACCTTGAAGGATCGAAGTTTTTACTAGTCGACGACCTGCATTACAAAGAATGTCATAGTGGAATGGTCTAGGACCTTTTAAACATGAATAATGCTAAAAAATAACCCCTCTACAAAATGTTCTTTTAGGTTTATTGTCTTTGAAACACGCTAAGGCGCAAGTATAGTATAATAACTTTTTCTGAAAAAAAAAAATTAAAAGGTTAGGATATGGACTGTGGTAGTTAAACTATTGAAACTGTTCATACCCTTAATTGACGCTATTTTTTTTTTTTAAATATTGTTAGAAGATATCCATTAGTCAACCGTGGAATGAAAAATTATTGTCATGTTTGAAAGGACACGTCTAAGAGGACATTACCATTATTGCAGCAATTTTTCGTTCATGAAAAGTAGGCCAAAGAAAGACAGGTTGATGGAAATCCGATTTGTAAAATTTTCACGTTGAAAAGATATTCTACTCTAACTATTAATTTTTCTATGTCAAACAAGTAAAATACGTGATCCAGTGATTTTTTTTTTGAAACAACTTTACGTATAAGGTTCTTAAATCCATAAAAGATTGATAAGTAATAAAAACAATTCTACATCAGAAACTTATCAGGGAATTAGAAAAGGTTAAATTTTTGTAATTAGAAAGGAACCGTAACAGAAACTCCAAGTTACGTTAATATTTCAGGTTTCTCAATGGAACCTAAATTAGAAATCCATTTGACTGATTTGTTATTAGCGCGATTGTAAATTATCAAGGATATGGTCAAACATACATACAATTTAGACATCTTTTAGAAGTGAGTTAGTTTAATATGAAATATTATTCTGAAAATTCATTTCTGAATTTTTTACCCATTACACGCTACCTCAAATTAATGAGGGAATAATATTTCATAATAAACTAACTCACTTCTAAAAGATGTCTAAATTGTATGTACAATTTTCTTTGTTTGCAGGCGTATTGAAGGACGAATACGAATTAGAAACTAGATCAGTTTTAAGTAACACCATCAACAAAACCGTCGAATCCATCAGAGTAAAACTTTCTGAGTACGACCCTATCTCCCTCACGGACAAGTCCATCTCCTTATTAACATTGTAAGCGTTTCAAACATTCAAGTAACAAATCTGAAGTTAAATTAGAAATTAACATCATGTCATTCCTTAAAGAAATTACTTATGAATGTCCATATACAACGGTCAAAACAAGAAGTAGAATCAACGTAACACAATACTATTTCGGGTGAATACTGATAAGCGAACTACAGACTGTACCTAATCAAAAACACATCCCCAGCCTGCTTCACACGGGCCTAACGTGCATTCATCAAAGAGCATTGAATATAACGAATACGTACATATACAGATGCACGAACTTAATCTACAGTCAGCCAGGAGCATGTACATAATTTGCATTAAGACATTTAAAAATGAATACTTAAGATTAATTATAATGGTGTCCGCGAATATGGCCCTATTCACAAAAAAAATCCCTTCCGACGACATTAAAAACTTACGTTAAAGAAATTTCAAAGTGTCCCTCGTCGTGATTTGATAGCGCGATCATAGACCTACATCCTAAGCGATGCACAACTCGTTTCAAACGGCTAGAGAAGTACAAAAAAAAATGTTGAAAGCTGCGCGGATAGAAAGAATACACGTTGGGCGTGAGCAAGACAGAAATAGTTTAAACAAGAATAAACTATGATTGAATTTAGAATTTCTTCGTGGCGCATCCAAGTAAAAGTAAGGGGCATATCTCTAACCGTTCGAAATGAGCTGTATTTTTTGACCGTACGAACTAACGTTAGAGATATTAGAAAGAATAGGAGAACAGAGGACTCTATGGAAGTCAATAAGAAATAGGCCAGATCGGTTGGACGTTCTTAGGCATGAAGGTCTAGTCAGATACATATTAGAGGCAGAAACAGGAGTTAGGAGGGGTAGAGGTAGACCTAGATTAGATTACTGTTCGCAGTTAAGGTTGTGGGTTGTCCTAGTTTTAGGGAAATGAGAAGGTTACCTCAGGATCGGAAAGAGTGGAGGTGCGTGTCCAACCAGTCTTTGGACTGACGATCTTTTGATGATGGTGAACTAACGTTCATTGAATACGCGCGAATAATGTCAAGTTGTTCGTTGCACGACAAAAAAGGGTCGACTACAAGCTAGAGTTAGTTCGTCTGTATGATATTATTGAATGCACTTACATGTATTGGTGCCATCTACCCCATGTGTAAGGGACTTACGCCAAATTACGCCAATAAGTTGTTGGTAGCAAAGTCAAAAACTGCCCACTACAAGTTAAAGTTCGTTCGCTTGTATCACTTTATAGAATGCGCGTTGATGAGTGCACTTACATGTATTGGGAGGGTCATCTATCTCCATGTGTACGGATTTTACAATGTATGTTTTTTGGTTTTACGGTCAGAAAGAGTTGAATTGGTACAAATTAATGTTCGTACATCTGTATGACGCTATTGAATGTGTGAAGATGAGATGTGTTGACATCTGCGCCCACATGAACTAGAAATTTGTAACATACAAACATGGAATAACGCTCCAACCTGTAATGCACATCCAGTTTTACTGTTTACTCATTTTGTGTGTTATTCTTGTAACACAGTCACGTCATTAATTTTGGTTTTGAACTATGGATTTGGTTTTGCACTTGAAGAAATTACAAATCAAAACTAACAGCCACTTTATTCATCACTGCCGATTTTAGCATTGCTGTTTTGATTTCGAGATGCACTTCCTGGGGGACGGATGCCACCAGCAAAAATTGATTTTCAACAATTAGATAAGCTTTGAATGCAAAAAATTCAAAATCATAACTGACAAAATTGTTCATGGATCTGAATCAAGATGATATCAAGAAGCAATGCAATACCAAAACAAAAATCGAATCCGTATGACTAAGCGAGGACCATGATCATTATGGTCTTATTTTTAGTTATCACTAATAACACTAACATAGTGTACTAAATAATAATAACAAATACTCAACCTAAATATTTCATTCTCAAATAAAGCTTAAATTTATCATTACAGGGGTAACTTCAGTGTCAAAAAACTCCAGGCCAGTGGATTCTCTAACTTTGCCATTAAATCGTTGTCAGCAAATGTTCTGTCAGGTAGTGTGAAAGGTACTTTCAACTTACCTCATTTCTCTGCCGTTGTAGAGTCTGCTGCTGTTTCCAGCAAAATTCCTAAAGTAGATGCTGAAGTTTCATCTTTGACGTAAGTAATTTATATCTATACTATTACCATACCTTTGTAAGTTTAAATATAATTGGTAATTTTCGAAATTACTAAACCAATTTCAAAATTTTTTTCACCAATATTTTAAAATTAAACGTCAGGGCAAATACAGAATGTATATTAGTCCATTAAAATAAAAGTGCTTTTCGTGGAGACCAATTTAGCAAAGTTAATTCACAAATTGATAAAAATGCCAGGAACGGCTGGCGATTAATAATAACGGCTTGTGACGATTCAACAGCCGAAAAGGCAGAAGACACAAATGACAATTTTACAACTCGGCAACAGACTGAAGTTTTTTATAAACTAATAATAACAGTCCAAAATAATTGTGAGCCTTACGGATTTCAAGACGTTGTGGGAAAACTATTCCATCCCTTTTTCCAAGTTGGAGGTCAAATGGGGAACTTTCAAGCCCAAAAACCGAGAAATGTACACATACAGATCCTTCTTCATATCAAAGACATAAATAATCTTGTCTTACCCAAAATTAAAAGATAATGCAACATTTCATTGGACTATGATATATGTGTAATTTAGTCAAACTTACAACTAATATTGAACAGTCTTAGTTACCTCTTTAGTATTTCATGTTAGGACACACAATTTTTCTAAATATTTACGTTCAAAACGGTTACAATCTTCAAGTGATTTAAAATTGGCGATATGTGCCATCTTCTACGAATTGTATTTGATCGTATAATAATCTAAACCCACAATTAATTGATATAATAAAACTAAAAAGCAAAAACAGAAGGCTGTCTGTCTTTCCGCACGTCATAAATATTGTGTCTAAGCTAGGCGGGTTTTACATAGATATGTATATACGATATATACAACGGCTAAATAACAACCAAATATGAATACTTACGCGAACAAAAAATTTTAAAATTAATAAGTGAAATTATGATAAGAATTTTAATAGTCTGCTAAATAATAGTATCTTTAATGAACAATTTACCGACAATGAGCTGTTCCGTGAAACAATTGATTCCCATTTCGAAAAATATCAACTCGTTAAAGGCACTCAAGAATAACCAAAACGCAGTTATCAAAAACAAAAACTGTCATTGTACGTGTGGAAATGATGTTAAAAAAGCTGATAAGTAGTCTACTGATAATAAAAAAAAAGCTGAATCTAACCAAAGTAAACGATCTACCCGTAGAAATAAACTTTTTGTAGTAAATAACAGTAAAACAATACAGCCTGAACTGAGTTATACAACGTAAGCTAAATCTGATGCTGACGCCAAAGATTTTGGAGATACTTTGACAGATCCTGAAAAGAAGGACTTTACTAAATATAGTACGTGTTAGAAAACAATACTAAATGTTTGATTCTAAATGCTGAGATGAACACACGAAAAGCTACAGTCAGAAGGCATTAATTCGTATAAACTTGTAAATTTTGTGTCATCGCAGATTTCGAATTCTGACGTGGAGCTTATGCAAAAGGCTGGAGTCAAAAGGAATTAAATTGGATCGTTTTGCTTACTTTGCAAACAGATGACACAATATGATGGTTTCGTTGAAAAAACAAATTATGCTCTAAAAGAGAAGTCTACACGATGTGACTCTTCCTTAACACTTGAAAAGGCATAAGTGTATTAATATAGATGACAAAATTGCAAACAATTTGTAGTTCTGAGGCAGTGTGGCACTATGGGTTTATTAACAGGCTTTAATTATAGCATATTAATGGATTAATATATCCTCACCTTCAGTACAGATTTGCTATTTGGGGAAATTCTAATCACGCCCTCAAACGTTTAAAACTACAAAAAAGGATCTTTGCTTCATATTTTATGTGCCATAATAATAATAAGATGAAATGCAGCGCTACATGAAGAAATAAAACCGACCGTGGCGCACGAATCAAATAATGTGTGTTAAAAAACAGATCGGCGATGCGACAACTTTATCCAATGTAGCGCATTGATAGCAAGTGTCAATTTGGATGCCACATCGGCAGAAATCGATGTGTGTTAAGCGCCTTAATTAAAACAGATATATACGCATCATTAAGCATACGTAAATCAAGTCTATTTATTTCATCAAGTGATCATCTATGACGTACTGATGAATGCTAATATGAATACGTTTGAAATGACGACTCCCATCAGGTAGTTTCGAAAAGTTACTAACAAAGATATAACTTTACTTATTGAAATTTTATGTACCTGTCACATATGCATAATGTATATACAGGGGTTTATAGATATATAGATTAACATTGTAAAACAACTGCAAACACGAATATTCTGAATGAAATCATTTTTAGGATTATTTTCGGAAAATCAAATGACATCCACTTTTCTTATATTTTCAGTGTTGACCTAGTTGGAACCACTGTCCAATTTAGTCTTAAATACTCAGTGTTAGCCCCCCACTTAAGCTACCTTTGGGTATTGCCACAAATTAAAGGACTCAACGTAAGTAGTTTATGCATATCTATCTCACCTTTACATTATATTTTCTAACCGACTAACGTAATCTAATTAAAAAAAATTTAAATGTACCACATTCAACTAGACCACCGTGAAGAAAACCGAGCAAAACATACGGTGTTATAATCAAATCTTAACACTATCGCAGAGTGGCAAAAATTTTGTAAAAGTTACATCACTGTTATACGTATAACACACCAACAGTGTGCTAAAATCTATGAATCTAGCGTTGACATATGTTTGCAATTCCTGTTCGAGTATCACGGTGATACTGGAAATATTAAAACGCCTATCGAAAGAATGAAACTTACTAGCGTACCTAACTTCGATAACCAGGATGTTGTTCATTAATTAGAACTTTTAATTTAATAACAAACTTTGACGAATCTTAAACAACTGTTAAATATCAATGGTTTGGCTGTGGCAGTATCATATGTGTTACTCTAACGTATTCCCTCATGCAATCCGCACAATTTAGTACTGTTTATATCTTCCTAACATTAGATGGCGCCAACGTCTACTCATGTTTTATCTGTTGCTTTTTGTCAGTTATTTTTCTTAAAACTGCCTCTTGTTAATTATATTAGCAATCGCAATGTCACGAATCAAAAGTTAAATGAATTAAAACTATATGCACAATCTGATCTAATCACATAAATTATTTTCATGCTCATTTATGTACTTAATTTAATATTACATTTATAAAGCGGTGGAATATAATGTAATCTGGGAACTATATGCGTAAATGTGAAACTTTTTTTATGTTGAAAGAATAATTTTACTGCCAATCTCATTATTGTATTCTTATTTCAGTTGGAACTTAAAGGAAACTTGAATGGCCAAGATTCCGAAATTACAATTGATACGGATGAAATGGTCGAAAATTTAAACAAGTTGATAGATGAATACCAGACTAAAATCAGTAATACATTAAAAGACGCCATTAATTACTTATTAGGACTGCGTGACTCCTCCTCCTCTATCTTTTCTTTACACTGATAGAATAATTCCTTCCATTCGTTTCAGATGTCACAAACATGAAATTCGATAATTTTGTATAAGTAATTGTTACTATTTCGTCTTTTTGTAATATGTAAAACTACTTATAGCCAATAAATATTTGTGACAATCTACATTAGTTGATAATTTTAATTTAAAACGCTATTCCTTTTTACACTTGGCATAAGCCGATGGTTGGCATAGAGCTTGGTTTTCAATTTTTGTACAAAACTTCAGACAGAGACTCTGATAAATGTGGCGGATATCTTCCCTTTTTAACTACAAAGTCCTGTAGGACCGATTCACTAAATCAGTGTTTAAGTATTTAAAGAACACTTTCCTAAGCCCGGATGTGGGGCTAGTTGGCATACGCCTAGAAGTCACTTAACATAATGTGATATTCAGCAGTACACAAAAATTTTCGAGGAATAACTTTTTATTTTTGTCATATTTGTCATATTACTGCGGAAAGCTCGATCTTTATACCGTCTGCACATGGGCAAAAGTAGGGTTTTTCCATACATATTGTAATGTTCGTGGATTTAACAAATTAACTTTTAATACTCACAACGACAAAAACTATTTATTTACACTAATTATTATTGAACTTAAAAACACTTGTGGCGATATTGTCTTGTGTTTGTGTAAAGTTAAATTTGGTGTGTATGTATATATGTTTATTTTGTAAATGTCTTTGTGTATTGTTATCATTGTAAATTTCATTGTGTTATATTATTGTTGTGTAAATATTCTTATTTCTATACTTACGCTTTACCTGCTCTGTATCTATTCTTCTCTTAAACGACTATTTAATTGCCTTCGTACTTTCCTATAATCTCTTAATAACATTTCAACCCTGTATACTAACTGCATGACATCTATAATCCTTACTTTTCTTAATTGCTATTTTATGATGGGTCTCTTCGGTTATTTGGGTTCAAACTTAACTTCT